GGCGACAGCATCATCGCCTCGGCACTAGCCGAGCCACTGCTAGCGGCCCCTGACGGCCGGGCCGGGATGGACGCCTCCGGGTCCTCCACCATGACCACCTTCGTCACCCGGCACACGCCCGCTGCATGCTTCCCTCCGCAGGCTCTCCCCGTCAAGCGGACACATGCGCAAAGGTGTGCAAAACCGCACACTCGCTCCCCGGGGCATTGCCCCGATTGGAACGCCGGGCATAGCCTCTTGCCATCACGCATCACTGCGGTCAGGCGCCGGCCGTTGAGCGAGGCCGGCATCGTGGTAGCTGGCTTAGCCGCCTCTGCCTTGGCTTTGGCGATCCGCTTGAGCTTCTGCGTCAGGGCGAAGCGCTTCTGAAGCTCCTTGGGGCGTGGGGGGGCCGCCCACACCACCTGGGCGTCCCGCGCCTTGGCTTGGGCTGACGCCGCCTGGCCAGCCTGGGCCGCCTCCTTGACCTCCGCCGGCGGCACCAACTCCCAGGACTCGTGGTGGGTCAGAGCCGCAACCGCTCCCACCATCCTGCGCTTGGCCAACAAGGACGCCGCGTACTTGGCCCCGCTGTAGTGCAATGGCATGCGAGCATCCTCCGGGACGTCGCCTTTGGTCTGCCAGTCGCCCAGCGCCGCCATGTCGAGGGCGCTGAACCCCACCAGTTGGCCCACCGTGGTACCAACCCGCCTGAACGAGTACGATGACACCATCGCCGGGTTCTCCACCAAGTCCGCAAACTCATGCCGGACCATCCGGTAAACATCGGATAGCGACCATGGGATCCCCTCCCGACGGAACGCCAGCCCGCAGCCTGCCTTCTGCTTCTCCGGCACCAGGGCGAAGTCATGGAGCCAGGCCGCCGACCAGTCCCACCCGGTTGACACCGCTGCTTCCCTTTGATGCAGTGCGCATGGACCGTCGACATGGTCACCTTCCGCACCTCCGCCCGAGTGAGGTGCTTGTGGCGTAGAACTCCTCCATAGAGCATCCATGCCGCCAGCAACGCTTGCCAGCGATCATCGCCCTGCGTGTAGAGCTCCTCCATCCGCTGCTCCATCTTCAGCAGCATCACCGGTTCCACCGGCTGCCTGTCCCCTGGGCCCTGCCCGGCGCGCCTGTCCCGCAGGCGGCGTGAGCATGCTCAAACCCAGATCCACCCTCGCCTGCTTGGTGAGCCAGCGCAGTGATTGGGTAGCACGGGCCGGGGCAGCTGTTCCTTCGTGGAGGAAAACATCAAGGTCGACCACCTCCGGCGGCAGCGGGCGAGAACGCGCCTGCATGAAGGTGATCACCTCACCCCATGTGCGCAAGGCATTCAACACCGTGGCCCTTTCCGCCTCCGTCACCAACCGCTGCGCCAAACGAGTACATGATCCTTTCCACTCGCGCCGCAGCTGCTCCGTCAGGACTCCTGTCGGCTTCATCGCCCCCATGTCCTGCAGTGCCTCGCCGAGCCGCTGGACCTGCATCGTGATCGCCTCCGGTTCGTCTTGAACTGCACGAAGGCGTACCGCCGGAGCCCTCGAAGGCCGAGGGGCCAGAGGCCGAAAAGGAAGGTGAACAGCCGTCCCCCGGCTCTCACCCTCCACCACATCAGCCGCAGCCGGCAGCAGCTCGGACTCCTGGGCGCTACGCACCCGCACCCACGAGTTGGCCAGGTCCCTGCCGCCAGTAGTCAGCGCCTCCTCAAACGAGCGGAAGGCGAACGCAAGGGGGGGGAAAAACACGCTCTCCTGCTGCAAAACCAGCCAGCCACTGCCCCAGAGCCTTCCCGGCCCAAGCAGTGGCCCCATCGCGACTCTCCCAGTCGCCGGAGGGGATCGGCTCATATGCCGGCTCTCGCCAAGAGACCCGGCCTGCCTGCCACCTCCTCCACGCCCAGAAGACGGCCTCCCGATCGAGGCCACACTCCTCGAGGCCGGCCAACTCCACGTAGCCAACGAACCGCGCCACGTGCTCGGGGACCAGCTGCTGCACTCGCATGCCCGAGTCAACGGCCCGAAGCTGATCCTCATCCAAGTAGTCCCGGCCCGCATAGTGAAGGTCCCAAGCTGCCTCTGGGCCAACCTCCGCTTGAACCAGGACTGCGCGTTTGGTCCATGTCCCGAGCCACGGGAACTGGAACCCCCCACGCATCTCTGTGCACCTAGCACACCCTTCCACCATGCAGGGAACCTCCCGCAACGACCCCAGGGAATGAATGCGAAATTCAGAGGTCTCGGTTGGGGGGAGGTGCACCACCACCACAACAGCCCGCCACAGCCGAACGGCCTGGTCCCGTTCCCCACGGGCCAGCAGTCCTTGCACGTAGGATTCGAAGTCCATGAGGGCCGCCGGGTGCAACATCCGCGCCTGACAATGGGCCACCAAAAGGCCTGCATCGGCGCCAGACATGCTGGAGTCCCACTCCAGACAACAATATGACCGAAAACCAAAAAGGTGTCTGCCAATTTGGCTCAGTCTTGATCCAAAATGGCAGACCCATAACAATTGATGATACATGTTCACCCAATGCCTGCCAAGCTCTAAACATGGCATAAATAACGCTGATGATGATGGTATTGATGTGTAATATATTGGTTGGACCACTTTTTGTAGACCAAATGCCGTTATCAAAGCACCAACTAAGCCTGGCGACGCATTCTCAGCATAGACGCGGTGCCAGTTCAAGCTTGAGGGATTGCATATTCACATTACCAACCGCTGCTTTCTCAACATGTTTACATGCGTCTCAGTGAGTGAGACATGGTGACACTTGTCGGGATATGCTTCAAATCGGATTGAGGCTTGAAGAGGCACACAAAGTCTTGCTTCACTCTGCGAACGCAGGGAGAGGCATGTCTGGCTTTAAACGAAATCAGCAAGGGTGCAATTAGCGTCAGCCACCCTTGACCTTGACAAGCTTGACACCACCATAAAACTGGTAATCACGAAGCCCACTACTCAACACACCCATATGTGTGCCAGTGGGACTTGCGGTGCCATCTTTTCTGCATCGGTACTGACCAGGTGGAGTCTTCAGTCTCAGCATTGCCATATGCTTCCAGCTAGGCGAAACCGGACTGCCTTGAGGAAGCACGTACTTCCCATACCAGCCGGGGTCACCGGAGTTTGCAGACACATCATAACAGGCAACACAATAGCGGCCGTCATCAGAGACAGCCATGCCCACCTCAGTGATTTGTCCCCACACCAGTTTTGTGAAGTTGGCTGTGCGTTCCCATCCTGCAGGGCGTGAAGCTGCGCTGCCACCACTGAAGTCATAGCCAGGACAGAAAAGCTCGCTATACCAACTCTCAATGACCTCCTCGGCACTGAAACCAGGTGTTGAAAAGAAGGTGTTCTCAATCATGAGCTTATCCTTGATGAGTGTGTCCTGCTTCTGACACTCATTGGCCTTCTCCAAGGCCTTTTTGTAGAGATCACCGCTCCAGTCCAGCTCGCTCGCTCCATGCAGCGCGCGCTTTTCGTTGTGGGCGGCCAAAGTCGAGCGCTGCCAGGCCGCCAAGTTACTTGGGTCACGGCAGATCGCTGGCTTCGGCGCCGGCTTCCGCGCCGGATGTTCCCAGTCCTCTGGCAGAGGCTTCGTCACGAGCCTCGGAACCTGGGTGCCATCCGCAAGCTTCTCGTGGCCATCCGGTTTGATGAAGAAGAAATCAATGAACTCCCGCAACTCAATCTTTCCGTTGTGGCTCTTGTCCATCTGGGAGAAGAGCTCTTGATACTCGTTGTCTGAGAAATCTGCATGCAACTTGATAAAGAGTTCCTTGATCTCGTCAAAGCTCAGCGTTTCATCCTTGTTGATGTCTAAAAGCTTGAAGTGAGCCTTCAAACTCTCCAATGGATTGTCTGACATTGAAACCGGTGGCCGACACTCGGTGTGGTTTCAAATACAAATGACTTGAAAGGGCGCGAGCCAAAACGACTGCAACCCCTGACACCGACAGACTCGTCCTTCCTGCCTCTGCTCTTCACTCTCCTACTAGTACTATGTGGGTTCGCTAACACATACAGCTACAACAATAACAACACGTTCAATCATAGTCTTGGATTTGCTTAAGGTTCCCTGAACAAAACAACATGTTCCTTTATTCAAAGGGCAAAGCGCCTGCAACCGACCCCAGACTTCCAATGTTGCACGCCCATATGTTAGAGCCTGGTAGCACTCGAGACTCTGTTCCAACATGTCATCCCCCCAAACTTCGACAGGATCGACCCGGCGAATTGTTTTCGGATCAGTTTCGAATCTGTCAAGCTTCGTGCAATCGGCATGGCTGCAAGAAAGGGCATTTCGCACAACAGTCTTGCGTGTGTTTCCAAGAAGGTGTGCTTTTTTTGAAGGGAATAGTTCTCAGCACCTGCAAATACTCTTATGATAACTAGTTTTGCATGTGTCGGAAAAAAGGTGTTCTTGAAAGGGAAGAGTTCTCATAACCTGCAAAGACTGCTATGATAACTATGTCGGGGAACCTTAACAAGTAAGATGATGTCTTACGGAATTGCTTCGGTTAATGCCTTTTTTTTTACGTCTTAAGAAACCTTGAGGTGGGGGAGGTTACCAGAAACTGCCATGGTCAAGATGGTTGGCATTGTATCCAGCAAACGGTTTGGATGCGTTTTTGGTGGATCCAGCCCTGTAGGATATTAAAAGCGTACTAAAGGAGTACAAAAAAAAAAAAAACTACAGGGGGAAGAACAGGTGAAACCGGTCCAAACCGTTCTCTAGATTGTTTGACAACTATGAGGAACCTGATTGTAAAAGGCTAGTGGCATACGCGCCACTTTCCGAGTCTGCCCAACGTTGCTGTCTCACACTGGCACAATCATCTGCCCCCGAAGCTGTGGGGCGCGGCATGAGGTCAGTGTATATGCCAGAGGGTAGCTTTGAGGATGTCACTATAAAACCAGCCAGATTCAATAAACAAACAAAAAAACGGAATCCACAAGCAACTGGGCGGAAAAGAAAAACAAAACAAACTCTCTGCGGCCAAAGCAGCCAGCTTCTTCCAAGCGCGGTTGTCAAGCTGGTCGCCCTCCTCAGGGCTCCGAATTCGATGGGTGATTCGACGAAGGCTGGCCGGCAAAGGGAAAGGAAAGAAAGATCTACCTGGGGGTACCTTCCAATTCCAGTCTTTCCAGGGATCCTTCTTTCTAGAAAAAAGCAGACCAGTTGGGGTGGGGGGTACCTGGGCTGCCCTCTTCTTCCTCGGCTTTCAGAGAGTTCTTAGCTCCGGGCCGTGCCTGGCGGTTGCTGGAACAAATCCAGGGTCTCAAACTAAGAGAGCCCAACCAAACAAAGAGCGAAAAGACCAACAAACAAAAAGGAGGACGCCCTCAGATCCTCTGCTAAACGTTTAACTTTTAGTGGGTGAAATGAAAATCCAACCACTAAACACTAAAAGGCTAAACGGCCTTTTGGGGAGCGCTGGGAGCCACCAAGCTACCTAGACTCTCCATGACACTGTAACAATGGGGTCCTGATCCCTTTCTTTTGGGTAACTACCCCGTTATCAAAGGGGTCATGGAGACTCCAGGTACAATCGTACACAGTGCTCATGTATTTCCGCTTCAAAGATGACCCCACCAAAAGGAAGGTCATGGAAGGTCCTTTTAAATGGGCCCAGAAGGCGATGGGGAAATGCAGGGAGACCCGTAATACCCTTTGGGTTGATCCTCTTTTCGGAAGGTCTTGGCGGGAGGCCTTCTGAGCAAACCATCACCAATCGCGCACGGCGTGCGACCGATTCGATTCCCCTGTGTGGTCACCTTTTGGGCCATGACTAAACCAAAAAAAATCAAAAGGTCGGATTTGGGCAAGCGAGTGCTTTGGGTTGCTTTAATTGGACCAAACGAAAGACCATCCTGTGCATGCTCCTTCCCAACAAAAACAGCCCACCCCCCCTCCAACTGCCGGCGGAGCCACACGGAAGTCTCGATTCTCGTCTCGGCGCTTCGCCTGCGGCACGATCGGCGCTTCAGCCCCGAAATAGTGCTTCTTTAAAACCCACAGAAAGGAGTACACCCTAGGAGTCCTGACTCAAGGTATGCGGAACCCGATATTCTCCAGTGTCCACAACTTTAGAAAGGGTGGTTCCCTCAGATACCTATACTATACAGGTACACGGATCCACAAGGCAACAGAAAGGGGTACCCCTCAAAAAGGCACATGAGGATCGAAAGAACTGCACAGAGTATTATCGTCTGCTCATCTCTGGACTTGGTGTTTGATGGACCCCACCTCATTAGTGCACAAATGCGGCGGGGGGGTCCCTGATGTTCCCTCACTCAACTAAACACAAACCCGCGCTGGCAGCCAGTGACGCTGCGGGGGAAAAATACAACTAACAAATTAGAATATGAACAACATGTGTGGTGAACCTCCCAAACAAAACAGGATTCGAAAGGGAAACCAATTTGCTGAACATCCAGAACATGCCGGCGACTTACCTCCCGGACAAATCAAGCATCACCCGGTGATGCGAGCGCCAAACGAAAAGCTTGTGGCCAGCCATAGGCCATGGCCAGCCACAACCTCACTCAATGAAAACCCAAATGGCCCAAACACTCGAATCCCTTCCCCGAGTTGGGCAAGATCCCTCCTCCCTCCCACCCCCGCCGGACCCCTAACCCCACCCCCCCTATTCTACGAATTATCGCCTCATGCATCATGCCCTTCCTAACGCAACATCTACAGAGCAAGGTTTGT